GTGCTAACCATACATGCTCTGTAAACCCATTGTCGCATGGCTGGGACACTGCCCAATGACCCTGTCCCATTTGTGGGCTGTTGTGCCAAGTAGAGACTGACAATTCACACTGAGAGCTACAATTTTAAAATTTCAGAATTTAAATACAGCCATTTCTTTTCTAAAATCCAGAAATGATAAATGATTTTTAATCTCAATAAGAGCAACGAAATTGCTTTTCAGACTACTTTAATAAGTTAATTTGTGGCTCAATTCTTGTTTCACCTATTATTAAAATGTTTCATAAATTGAAATTATCATAAAAATACGTCAAATGTTTAACACAAGTTTCATCTGTACTTATGCTTAACATAACTTTTGAGAAAGTCAGTTCACATCTATAATTTGTACCAAATATTTACAAGAAACTTCTGGATATATTTTTAAATTGTAGATAAAAGTCCATTGGAACTTGATTGTAGAATTCAGTCAAATTCCTTTCTTTTGTCCTGCATTGTATCATCCATTGTCCGGAATTTGTCCTGCATTGTATCATCAGCTTTGGGAACAATAATTTTCATTTATTTAGCTACTGGGACTTGCTCAGAAGGCTATCTCATGAAAACTGGTTCTGAAAAACTCTTTATGTATCTGGCATTAACTTTCAAGTCAGTAAATTTCTTTTTGAGCTGCAATTTCAGTTTAGAAAGGATTTTCAAACAAAATGAAAGTGGGAAATGAGAACTATTTTCAGCACTAGTAATTTACTAGTAAGGTAGTAAGAAAATATATTTTGTAGCAATCTGTGTGAAAGTAATAATTTATGTGTGAATGCCTTGATGTGAGTGAAGGTCACATGAGGCCATTATCGCCTTGCATTTTTTTATTAATTTCATTCCCAACATGCTCAGTTTCGCCAACATAAACATGAACATATTAAATTCAAAATCGAGGAGGAGAATAAATAAATAAATTTAAAAAGAAAAACAACAACTATTCTACCAACGACAAAAGGTCATGGGCATTTGAATGTTCTTTATGTAGGATTTACAATGAATGGTATGACACTAGTGCTGGTGTGAGCCACAGTGTGTAACAATAGAAAACCAGATTCGTATTAAAATTGTTTCTTGTAGAACACCGCAGGTAACATTTAATTCTGCGCTTGTCGTTTTGTTTATTTTTACAACTTGTTTCCTATTAGATAAATCGCTATTCATTAATTTACGCGCAATGCACCTAAAACCATAGGGTTAGAGTTTACGTGGTAATATATTGTGATTAACAGTGTCTAAGGCTTTTGCCGGGTTAAAAAATGCCGAAATAATAGGATTTCCATAATGAATTGCATCATAGATCTTATCTTTAAATTTTAATGGCGGTTTCAGCTTTCTATCCCCTCTGATATCCAAATTGAAGAGGGTTAATTATCGTGATTTTTCCTTATAAAATCATCAAATCTCTTTAAACATTTCTTTTCAAATATTTTACCAAAATTTGATATCAAAGATATCAGTCCATAATTAGTTGTTTATGTCTTTCTCCAGACTTAAAAATTGGTACGACGACTGCTGTTGTGAAGTGTTCAGGAAAATAACCAGTATCTATACACTTATATATTATGAGCACAAATGGTGTAATAATCCGATTAGCTATTTTTTTAATACACTAATTGATATACAATCAACACGTGCAGATTTGCCGTTACTCATACTTTTCATGATACTTGGTACTTTCTGTTCTGATGTGGGTGTAACGAATATTGAGTTTAGCATTGCATTTATAGAATATGTTTCAGTGTCATATGTATTATGATCAAATTTATGGGCCATATTTGTTCCTTTAGTTACAAGGAATTTATTGAAAATACTTCCTATTTCAATATCATCTTGTACAATTTTATCATTGAATGCATAGGTATTTTTATTTTCCTAATATTATCCATTTTTCTATTTGTAAATTGCCATAATTATTTAAAGTTGCCTGAAATTTCACTCGAAATACTTTCATCATAATTATTTTTAGTGATTTTGATTAATGAATCTAAAGCAGATTTATATTTCAAATATTTATTTTGTAAGTTCGTATCAAGAGGATATTTTTTTAAGAACTTCTTCTTTATGCCGTTTTCTTAACCGCTACTTCGGTCTTCAGGCACCTAATCTTCTCCAATCTTCCCTGTTCTTCCTGGAATCAGGAGGTGATTTCCACTTCTCGAATATCTTTCTGATCTGGTCTTTCCATTCTGGTCGTGGTCTGCCTAGTTTTCTCCTTTGACTTGGTTGCCATTCTAAGGATCTTCTGAGGAGTCTTCTCTCCTCCGTTCGCTGTACATTTCCAAACCAAGCGAGTTGTTTCTTTTCAATTTCCTCTATAATATCATGTTGCAGGGAATTATTTTCCTTAACCTGTTCATTCCTAATTCTTTCCTTTCTAGATATTGCTGCAGCTCTTCCGAGGAAATCCATTTCCAAAGCTCTCAATTTTCTTTTCTGTTGTTCTGGAAGCTGCCATATTTCTGCTCCATATGATACTTTCAATCATACATTTATATATTCTAATTTTCGTTTCCAGGCTTATCTTTCGATCCCAGATAACTGCATTCAGGGCTCCTAAAATTTTTCTTCCTTTAATGAGTCGGGTTTCACATTCCTTTCTATAAAAACCCTGTTTTCCTATTGTTGTTCCCAAGTACTTTATGTCTTCTGTTGATCTTATTATTTCTCCTGTTTCCATCATGTGTACTGGCTAGAGTCCAGTATACTGTTTTTTCTTGGTTGAGGCTTAGTCTCTATTTCTCATATCCTTCTTTTACCTTCCTAGTCATGTATTCAAAATCTTCTTGTTCTTGCTCTATCAGCACCAGTATGGTATAGTGTTGTATTATCATTACTATCCCAACACATTTTCTTTTCCATGCCTGTAACACCGCATTAACATAAATTTTAAAGAGGTTAGGTGACAATCACCATCCTTGCCGTAGTCCTTTTGATATAGGAAATGTTTGGGTCATCTGTTTTCCAACTTCCACTTTTCCGTTTTGATCTATATACAATTTCTTCACCGCATTTATTATGTTTTATTTACATTACTTTTATTCATACCTTTAATACTGGCACACTATCATACGCCTTTGCTATATCAAGGAAGACGACATGTAAAGTTCTCTCCCTGTTTGCCATTTCTTTTGCATCGCCTGGGACAGACAAAACAGGTTACCTAAGCAAGATCGACCTCCCACTTTGTTCTTCTTCTTCATACGCCTTGTTTCCGTCTTCTATTAATATTCTTCCACATAGCTTACTGAACGCATTTGTCACTGCTATCCCTCTATAATATTCACATATGTCTTTCCTTCCTTTTGTATATATTTGTGTTATACAAGCCATTTTCCAGTCTTCTGGTATATCACATTTATTTATACACATAATCATTAGCTTTTGTCATCATTCGCACAAACTTTGGTGTTCCATTCTTTATCAGTTTGCTTGGGATTTCTCCTGGATCCGGAGCTTTACTGCCTGTCATTTCTTTGATATCTCTTAACTCTCTCTTTGGTTACTGTAATTTCCAATGCCAGAGATATCTTTTCCCTTTCTGTAGTTTCAAGTAAGTCTGATCTTCCTTCATTTAATAATTTCCTAAAGTACTCTTCCCATTTGCTTACAGATATACATTGTAGGCGGACTTCATTTGGGGAGGATTTACCTCTTTTATGAACTTCCAAATCTCACTAGATGAAATAATATTTATAAAGATGTTGATTGCTAATTCTAAGCTATTTCTATTCCACCTATGTACACTTCTACTTCTTGACATTTATGCTCCCATGATTTTTTTTCTTTTCTTTTCTTATGATGTTTCTAACTCTATTTCGTTGGGTTTTATATTCGTCTCTATTTTCTTCTTGGTACTCAACCATTTTTCATACAGTCTCTTCTTTGCCTCTATTTCCTGCTCCAGGTCTTGAGTAATCCAATAGCTTTTCCCTCTCCTTTTCTTATTTAAAGGTATTTCACCAAGCGCTTCTTTAGCTGCTTGATGTAGACTATCTTTGAGGTGTTCATATGTCTCCTCATTTGATCCAACTTGTTTTCATTCAGTAAATTATCCAACCAAATTTTTTAAGAACTTATTATAAATTATTATATAGGTTATTTTTTACTCTACATGACTGAATTGGACCTGATGCAATCCATTCCTTACGCGGTTTGTACTTTGGAAAAAAGTTTTTTTTTTTTTTTTAGAAGCATTTATGGCATCTGAAATAATATTTATAAAGATGTTGATTGCTAATTCTAAGCTATTTTCATTATAAACATTGTTCCAATTTATCTTATTTAGTTTATCACAAAGCTTTTTGTAATTTATTATGAATGTATCCCTTGAGATATTAGTTTTGTCAGTATCTCAATATCATCATATAATAATAATAATTTAGTAGCGCTCATCATCTGTCTGCACCAAGTCACATGTTAGAGATTTTACAGTTAAATAGATATATCAAAAATATGGTCAATACAAGATGACTCTTCATTTGAATAATCACAAATCCTTGTTGGAATATTTATGTATGAGATGTAACCAAATTCATTAAAATTAATAATATAATCTAACATATAAATGTTAGATTTCAGTATATCTAAGTTGATTCCCCAATTACAAAGTAATTGTTTAAGTGTTGTGTTTCAGACAAGTATTTGAGATCATTAATGAAATTAAGTACATTTGGTTCATGCAATCTGTAAAATGTTATGGAAGATATTTTGCCCTAATCTGTTAGTACTTCTGTAAACAATACTTGTATATTTCCAATATTAATACCTTTACTTGTATGATTATGTTATTCCTAATATATATGCATTCTCTGTCATTTTTATTTAGGAAGTTGTTGGAATGAAGCATGTCATAACTTGAAGTTGAAAATAGGTTTAAACAATAATATATATTAATATAATGTATTTTAAACATATAATATATAATGTATTTTAAGTTTTAATGTAAGTTTCATGTGTTTTTAGGAGGAGAATCCATTGTATTCACAAAAGTCAGCGTTTGTAGTAGCAACATCTGCAGCTTGTTGCTTCAAATTGCAGTTTACGGTAGGAGAAGATCAAGCGATATGTTTCTCGATGTAGGGGACAGGCTCTAAAACTTTCGATATGATTCGCTGTTTATGGGACATGTATAGAGAAGAATGTAGTAGCTTCATTGTGTGTTATATTGCTGAAAAGCTTCACTCCAATTTTTCTTTGCAAATCAATTTTGGAACTAGGACTTTTTTTGTTACTGCAAGTAGGTTTTCCCTTGTAAACATGAAGTAAATTTTATGTAACCAATATTAGTAAACATTAGGGAGCTAATGTTTTTATTTGTAGCTTTAGCCATCCAGAGATCAGAATTGTTGAAGAATACTAATAACTGTATGGTAACTTATGGTCAGCAGTTTTCCCATTGTCCCTCGGGAAATATTGTAAACCTTGTATGAAGTCAAATTCAGATCTTATCATTCAACCTATTTAGTATGATTTAAGAAATGTTTCTTGTACCATAATTTCACTGGTAAATATGAAAAATGTATTATTTACCTTTCAGTTGTTAGTAATGTAGTGTGATGTAACATAAATGTACTAATGTAAAGGTGTGGACTTTCTTTTAATTTCTAAATTAGATTTAAATGCCTCATGAAATCATCATGAGGAAGTGTGTTCGGGAGTTACCATTCCTCTTGAACTGGTTGTTATTATTTATTGATCAAAGCTGTGGAGTAGCCACTACCATTTCCATAAAAGGGTTAAATAATGAAATAGTGATATTCATATCTTCAAAATCAGCATAGTAAATAATGTTTTGTTTATATCAATAATCAAAGAGAGAACAATCACAATGGCTCTTTGTGGCTATCAAATACAGTAAAAGTTCCAAATTACCAAGTATTAAACTTGAATTGGTAGAGAGGGTTTTGGAAGGTATTGGGATTTGAGATTGTTGTGGTGCTTTTTCCACAGTAGTGTGTTGGACATTCACAAGTTTGTTTATTTATTTATTTATTTATCTATCAATCAGGCAATCACCCAACATACATTACATTCAATATTTACTTAATATAAGTTAATAGTATTCGCATACATATTTTTTCCTTGCTAAATCTGAACAATTCGAGTGATGTAAAAAATATATCTATATTACATGTGTTTACTTGTCTACTCATGAGCCATATTGGTGCATTATGTTGCAGATTTGATCTCGCAATTGGTATATAAAAAGTTTTATAGTTATTTCTCGTATTTCGCATAGGTAAAATTCAGTTTAGATTACAGTGCAGTACAATCAATATCATTGTTTATCAATTTATACAGAAATATAAAATCATTGAATTTTCTATGAGAATGTAGTGAGCTAATGTTCAATAAGCTCGCAACATGAAAATAATTATGTGTGAACCATGGTGATGAAAGTTGAAGTTTCCACGCAATATAGTTAAAGAACCTATGTTGAGTTGATTCAATTTTTCTTGAATAAATGTCATAATGAGGCGACCAAACTGGAGAAGCATATAATAAAATTAATCTCACTAACGAAAAATATAGAGTCTATAAAATGGAAGGATTTTTGAATTCACTGGTCATTCTCATAACAAATCCAAGTAGTTAATTGGCTTTATTAACGACATAATTAATATGTTTATCAAATTTCAAAATAGGATCAAAAATAACTCCAAGATTGTTATGTTCTTATAGAGATTTGAGAATATGATTATCAAGAGAATAATGATAAACTATTTGCGACCTAAATCTGCAAAACCTCACCATTTTACATTTATCGATATTCAAGGATATTTTATTGAAATTACACCATATCATAAGTGAGTTCAAACATTCTTGAAGCTCACAACAGTCTTTCAATGATTTTATTTGTCAGTAAATTTTAAAATCATCTTCAAAAAGTAAGAAATTACAATCTGGGAAAGAAAACTTCAAGTTGTTCATAAATATCAAAAATAGAAGAGGCCCAAGATGCTATCCTTGAGGAACACCAGAAGTTACACTTATGTCTCTCGAAACGTAGGTTTTATATTGGACGTTTTGAATTCTGTTGGTAAGATAGTTTTTCAACTAATCCAAAAATACCCCATGAATACCAATATGATTTAATTTCATCAATAGTATATCAATTGTCGATCGCTTTAACAGAGTCTGTATAAATGGTATCAACTTGTGAATAGTTTTCAATTTTTTCAATTATATAATGTTGTAACACTAAAAGATTAGATGTTGTTGAACGCTTACTTCTAAATCCATGTTGTTTGTTTACCAAGATTGCATTTACAATTGTCAAAAGTTTCGTTGTTATAATTGATTCGAATAACTTTGGAATTACACTCATTATTGATATGGGTCTATAATTTTTTATATTTGAACGGTCATTCCATTTATGAATTGGAGTAATAAAACTTTTTTTCCAAATATCTGGTAAATGCCAACTTTGAGGGATTTCGAGAAAAGTGTATGAAGTATAGGTGTAAGATTAGTTTTGCAATTCTTTATAAGAGGTGGTATAAGATCAGGACCTATACCTTTGTTGACATTAAGCGCGGATATAGCATCATACACTTCTGTGTAATTACAATTTCACCGATGTTAATTGGAGTGTCGAAATAATGATTCACAATGTTGGAGTTGACACACTCATTCGAGTCGTACACTGATTCAAAGTAATCAGCAAAAAGATTAACAATATCTTTGCCTTCAAATGCTTGTAAATCATCCAAAAACATTGCATTGGGTAAACCTTTTATACCTCTCTTAGCTTTAGCATATTTCCAAAACGTTTTAGAGTTAGACGGTATATTACTCTCAATTTGTTTAATATAGTTATTATAATCAGTATTACTTTTATTTTTACACATTTTAGGTAGTTCAGAAAATTTTAAATAGTCATGTTAATGTAATGAAAATTTAAAATTTTTTTGTGCAATAAATTTTTGTTTTAGTAAACGAATTAATTCCTTAGAGTACCAAGGTGGATATGAATTAGCACGAGTATAGAATTTTGGAACATAATTCTCAATCAAGTTGTATAATAGTTCATAAAAATATTGAATAGAAAATTCCAAATTGTTTTCTGAGAAATAATGTAGCCAGTTCATTCAGCACAATTCGTTATTTATGGATATATAGTCAGTTAAGTTAAAATTATTTATATATATATA